GGAAAAATGCATGCAAGATGTCTGTAAACAGAGGTACTTATGTGTGTCTATGTGGGTGTGACAAAAAGGTAAAAAGTGTGTAAGGTTGTGTTGGTCTCTTCACTTGGGATAATGGGATGAGAGTTTGAGATAATGCTGGATGACAGAATGGAGAGAAGAGACTTGTCCTCAGAGTTTGGCTTAGTCCTCCACAGATGGGCCACCTTTCCTCTGAGGTTAAAGTGGGTGCTGGATTTTATCAAATCCACCCTATTTCATGGAAACCCACAAGGGTGATCGCTGGCCAATCACTCTCTCAGCTCAACCTACTACAAAGCCCTTGTTCTGGATCTAGAGATGGGGAGAGGAGCACAATGCATACCCCTTGGAGCTCCAGGAAGAAAGGCGCTCCAGAAAACTGGGGAAATAAAATCTAAAAATATAAAATTAAAGTCTGCCCACTCCTGTGTCACTGCAGCCATTGGTTTGGCGGTCTGAAATATTTGAGGAACATTGGCTTAGGCACACTTAGCCAACCTGTTTCAACTGCTCTGTGCTGCTGAAGTAACATCCATGAACAATTTCTTCTTGCTGTCACCTGGAACATCCCAGTTCTTCTTTCCAAACTTCTGACTTAGGATATACTTTATGGGTATCCCCCAGAGATCTCTGCTGCCGGATCCAGTTTTCCCAACCACAGATAGGTATAAAGTCACATATTGCTCTGCCAGATGCACCATGGCTCAAGACCCAAAGCCTAGGTCATCTTCCTGGGCTGTCTACCTGCAGCCTCTTGCTGGTACCCTCAAGCCCCTTGATTAATGGCATAATCAGCTATGGAAATCAGAAAGTCAATCTGCAGCTCTGACCTCAATATCCTCCCAATATTGCATTTACCTAGCCCCTCTCTAACTAAAATGAAGCCCCCATTGTTGAAAGCCAAACCTCCCCCACAAAGGAAATAACTAAAACCCATTGTCCACATTTTGGTGCCGAGCAGTACTTAACCGCTGTCAGAAGCTGCATGAGTATTAATACATTCCAGGCACCCAACTGCGCATTTGTTATCTGGTCCACATTTTAAAAGCAAAAGAATCCGGCATTGGCTTGACTCGGGTAGTGGGAATGGCTTGGAGAAGAATGGGAGGAGGGGTTCAGCAGTAAGTCCTTAAGAATTAAGCTGCACTTCCATTTTTCAGCACTGTTCAGACATTCAGATGGACTTTTAATCACCAGCTTCCTCGCCTTTGAGATAAATTAGCTTGAGCGAGAGAGATTGGGTGGTTGAGACACTGAGCCATTAATGACCTCTGCTTCCCATCATCATCTGTTTCAGTCTGCCATTCTCCCTTTCCTGACGCCAATAACCGGGCTCAGCTGGGATGCTAGTTTGAGGGGCAGACGCTTTTCACAGAATGGGGCCCTCTTCCCACGGTCTGAAGAGCAGTGCTAACCCTGTTCGCATTTTGGAAGTCCTTGAAGACTTGACGTTCCCTCAGACATGGAGTCTGGAGCTTAGGTGAGCCCCTCACTGAAAATGTGTACTTCCTATGATCGTTGAGTTTGCCTTATTTTTTATTTTAATTATTGTATTATATTTGGCTTGGTTTTAACCCTATGTGCACAACCCAGAGTTGCAAGTGATATAACAACAACAACGAGAGAGACCTTGCTTAGGGATCTGACAATTGAGAACACAAGATCCCACCATTACCCAATATTAGGATTATTCTTGGCTACAGACTTTGTTCAAAGACAGTGAAACTACACATCACTGGTCTCTTTTCAGAGAAATACAAAACATTCTGAGCTGCAACGCTGCGTTAGACACATGAAGTTGGTGCTTTTGGTTTGAAAACAAAAGCTAAAAAGCTCTACTTGGAAAACAGAGTTTAGTTATGAACACTATTTGGCATTTTGAGGCATGACAGTTATAGCTGAGCCATCTGGCTCTTCATCTAAGAAGCATGGTAAGATGTCACCCAACTTTTTCTCATCCTATCACAGTGGCTTGTTACACTGGTTTTATATTGCTCAGATTCTTTGTCATCTCCCGTCACACAAAGCAATGTGTTTTATGAAAGAACATCCGCGACAGACCTTGCCTCTGTGCTTTTCGACTAGTGCTCTTATGAGAAACAAAACCCAGGGCTTGTTTTCTATACCAGACCGAACACCTAGAAGGCCTAACCTTGATTTCTGGAACAGCAAAGGCAGCCATTCAAATGTTTCTGGGGGTGGCTGATCACTTGTCTTTGTCAGCATCAAGGTATATTTGAAAAGCAAGATGACGTTAGCAAAAGAACTGTCGTCACCGCCCACCCGCAGCCTCCAGAAGTCTTGCCTGCTTTTATTCCAAGTCAGGAAACCTCCCTGAAGGGGTCAATCTACTGAGCCCCAAGGATGCTGGAGGCACACTGTGGAGGGCGGCATTGTGACATGAAGCTTTGTGGGTCTCTAACTGCCCATGCAGGAATGCAACAGTCCTCTGGCTAGCCCATCGCTTAACCGAGTAAAAGGCAATTAACCAAAAAACCCAAATGCCTGATTTAAACAGGATGGGTTTTACACTTCAGTAACAGTTAGGGCACTTTTTAAAAAATGACTGGCTTTGGAATGAAATCAGAGAGCTATAGAAACGTCTTAAAAGCAATCCAATCCACCCTCTGCTTTCTGAGCCCAAAATTTAGGCTGGGGAGAAGTAAAGAACCTGTGAAGAGGAACAGGAGAAGGGAAGGGGTGGCAAAGGGGGCGGTGGGGTAGCAGAGGGGGTGTCAATCACAACCAGCATCTTGACTTCTCTGACCACCCACCCCTGGGTGTCCATGGTGTGGGGAAAAGGAGTTGATGCTTAACAATCCTCACTCTGACACTGCTCTGTTCCTTTCCCAGTTTTTCTCTCAATCAGGTAAAAAAAAAAATCTTTTGCTCTACTTAAGGGAAAGCAATTTAGGAGACATTGAAAGAACAAACGAGTGAAACGTTCTGGGTGCTCAACTCTTTCCCCTCCTTCTGCATCTTCTGATTCTTCACTCTTTCTGAAAAAAAAAAGTCAGGAAACTGGTTGCACCCTTCAACGCATTCAGATCTGTGATGGGAATATCCATCACAGGTGGTCAAGTACTCCAAACACAGCATCAAAAGTTCAAGTACAATGCTTATTAATGTGGGCTTGTTGTTGACATATGGGCTAGGAAAGCTCACCAGCCACCAAAAGAGCAGTGATTTAAATCACAAGGGTGTAATTCCATCCTCCTTGCTCTGAGCTGAACAAAGCAACTCCTGTGGGTCATAATGAGGAGCACAAAATGGTCGGAATCCATCG